TTTTTATACCGCCAATGAATAAATACTGCTGAGTAAAATAATTGGGTCATTGACTTATTTACAAACACACGTGTCTTCCCATAAAGTATATATATATATATATATATATATATATATTATGTCAAACGTTATTTTAGTAGATACCCGTGTTTGAAATAGACGCCTCGTTTTTTTTTGGGGGATTTTCAAACAGTATGCATTACCTCTATCGGTCTGCGCAATTGAGAAAATTTAATAAAGAAAATGTGCACTCTGGCAATTTTCTCGAGTGCGCAAACTGATACACGTAATACACGTAATACACACTGTTTCAAATAAGGGGAGTCTATTTAAAACACGGGTATCCACTAAAAATAACGTTCGAAGTAAGAAAAACGGTTTATTAAAAATAAAATCCATAATAAATATTTAGAAATACATATATATATAAATGGATGAAATGTGTAAGAAAAACATTTTCCAATTTGTCCTACATCTTTTCTTTCAAAAATATATAAATATATAGCGAGCGAGAGAGAGAGAGAGAGAGTGAGAGAGAGAGAGAAAGAAAGAGAGATAAATGCGTATATGCATGCATGTGTGTGTGTGTGTGTGTGTAAAGCTTGTGTGCGTGTGGATATTTTTTGATGAATTAAACTTTGATACAATCCACATTCGTAAGGTACATTATAATAATAATGGCCGGCAACTCGTTTCCGAGTACACTCATTTGCATAAGGCGGTTAGCCAATCCCTATTGCAAACGTCTGCTCAGACACATTTGTGTTTGTTCAACCCCCACAGAGTCCACCTGTGGTTTATATTGCAACTATACTGAGCGAAGTTACAGGTCCTGGGAGAGAGCGCATAAATTGGCGTGATCAACAGTTTGAAAAAAGATCAGTACGCTCAAAACCTTTGTCATTATGAATTGTGATTTCGTGTTCGCACAACCATCGACAGCTTTCGAACAGTTCTGTCGACTCAATTTCACTCACAAGGCTTAAGTCAATCTTTGGGTTACATCTTACTGTTATAGAGTAGTTTCACAGTGGAGGCTTGTATTTCACTAAGTCGGACCTAAAAAGGTTCGACGTACAAAACGTTAGGAACTTGATATAATAGTCAATGACGCAGCAATCTAGTTGTGGTGGTTGATACTTTAATGTCCGACATCGACTGACTCACCAACTCACTCAGCCCCCTGGCGACTGCCACTGCTACTACTTATTATAGGTGGGAGAGTCTATTGACAATAGAATAGGTATGTTCCAGTATAACACTTACCCAGATGAGAGCTGCTCCATAACCACATCATTTGTGGTGGCTTCCATATCGTTTCATCGTCCATGGCCCATAAGATGACTCTTCACATCAGCATTCGATTTCATAGGTATCATATATATATATATATATATATATATATATATATATATATATATATATATATATATATATATATAATTTAAAGAAAAACAGACCACTTTAAGGCTCCATTGTAATAGTTTATTTCACCAGAGACCTTTTAAAGTACTCTGGATCAAAAGTGTAAATTTTCATTTCATTTTTCGTTTCACCGTCTGAAAGTGATGTCTGAAGATCCAGAGTACTTTAAAAGGTCTCTGGTGAAATAAACTATTACAATGGAGCCTTAAAGTGGTCTGTTTTTCTTTAAATTATTAGCTCTGAATTTACATTGACCTCTCAGGATTTCATCCTCCTTGGGACTACCCATACGGATTACCAAGTTTTTCGTTACTTAACTTATATATATATATATATATATATATATATATATATATAACTTTGTATCCTTCATTAAGTTGATTGGGTCTGCATACCTACAACTATCCTGTGTACCACCACGTGCCTCCTCAATCCAGATGATGATCCACAAACCTTGTTGCAAACACAGATACAGTCGGCATGACGATGAGGCAGGTTGGCATAGTTAGCTTGTTTCTGGTTGTTATGACCTTTCAGAGGCTTTACATAACTTACCCTCGACAACAGCATGCGCTCACACGCACCCCATTTCCAAGACTGAATATGAGCTGACAAATATGAGTACCACTTCGGAGATCACGTTTGATCTGATCATGCCTGAGACATTCATCCTCAATGGTGTCGCATTCCTTCCTAATAAACTGCCTTCACTCTGGACTATTTAAAGTCAGTTCTTTCCAATGCTGCACATCCATGTGCAATACATTCAGATTATCTTTAAAGTTCTTCCTGGAATTGTATTGTGGAGACTTTCCTGTCTTCAGTTCCGCGTAAAAAAGTTGTCTGACAATTGTGTTAACTCCCATTTTCACAACGTGTCCGGCCCATCGTATCTGATTGAGAACTATTATTGTTTTTATGCTGTTGCATTCAGATCTTTGGAGGAGTCAAAGCCTATCATTTGATGTTAAGAATGTGTCCCAGGAATTTTTGGTGGAACCGTTCAAACCATTTTATATGCCTCCGATATATAGTCCATGTTTCAGAAGAGTACAACGTGGACCATAAGATACAGGCGATATACACTAGTCTTGATGGTAATACTCCTATTTAACCTAATAGCACTACAAACACTAATAGATATATACAGACATGATAGCAGCCAACTCGTTAAATGAGTATGGTTGTACGGGTTTAATGTGTCGCCTCCTATCATGTACGTAAGTTTGATCAATGCTTTAAGTTCTCGTGATAACGACAATGGCTCTTGAATTTAAGTATAGCTTTAAGCATCCGAGTGTAGATTCCATCAGGCTTAGACTCTAGGATTTTATTTAATATCCAAGCAGTGGCATCTGAGTGTAGGTTCCATCAAGCTTAGACTCTAGGATTTTATTTAATATCCAAGCAGTGGCATCTGAGTGTAGGTTCCATCAAGCTTAGACTCTAGGATTTTATTTAATATCCAAGCAGTGGCATCTGAGTGTAGGTTCCATCAAGCTTAGACTCTATGGTTTTAGTTAATGTCCAAGCAGTGGCACCATACATTAACACTTTCTCTACAGCGGCTCGAAAATATCTCCGTTTGAGGTTGTCTGGGAGATCAGATTTACAGATTACATCCCATCATTACACTGTTTCTAAAAACAGAGGTGTCTACTGAAAAACGTGCATCCACTAAATATTAGGTTTACAAGAATAAGAAATATTGTACGATTATATAAAAAACAGACATTTACTAAAAATAATAGATGCATATATGATGGCTGTCGATTCGTTAAACGAGTATGACCATCGCTGACAAGTTTGATGAATGCTTTAAGTTCTCATGAGAACAACAATGGCTATTGAAGCCAGCAAGATACGGCAAATTAAGTTGTTCTAGACAAAGCCTGGCCGCTTTCGTAAAAACTCTGCTCAATTCACTCGTGGGTTTCCATGTAACAGGTGAGACCTGACGTTAAGTTATTTCCAGCATAGTATTCATCGTAATTTATCAAATGTTTACCAATAGGACTCTTCTCGTAGTTACCGAGTCCTGCATTGGAGAAACATACATACATACATATTAGAACATACTTGCGAACATTTAAACTTATTTAAATCAATATAAAAAGAGACTCACAAGTACACATATATACGCGTATGTGTATAATTATGAATATGTATTTATTATACAAATGCAATTATCTTGCCATATGCAAGTATGCATGCCGATGTGTTTTTTAGTTAATGAATATATATTTTTTTTTACTGCAAAGCGTTGATCTTAAATTAAAATAAGTTATTCTATCAACCATAGTATGCGTCGAATTATACCAAGCGTTTATAGATAAAACTCGACTTAGATGTTAAAACAGTCGTAGTGATATGTAAAAATGGCATATGAGATTTTACATGTATGATAAAAGTGTCTGTTTAGTGTAATAATATACTGGGAAGATATTTTTATTTTATTTTTAATTGTAATCAGTTTATAACTTCTACTTCTTTATATGCCGTGTCCCCTCAGGACGTAAGCGACCATGGCTCTCCACAACTTCCTGCCCTTTCGCTATTTTCCCTGTTGAGGGGTTCTCCCCTTTTTACACAAATGGACTCACCCAGCATATACATATACTACTGCTACCCTAGAGCTACAGAGGGGAATGTGAACGGTTGTAGGTAACCGGAAGAGCGAGAGTGAGGTAAGAGCGTTGTAGGTAACCGACAGAAGGTGAAGGTAACAGACAGACAGAACGAACGTAGCGAACAAGAGTCACAGTGAGCGAGCACGTAGACTCAGTAAGAAGTCATACAGCGATACTTCAATACCAAAGACTGTATAGATATTTTGCTACTAACCCGTATTCATGGAACTACTAACCTGCATTACCAGTTTGTATTATTACGTTAATACATTATTTTCCTATATTCATTCTTGGCCTTTGTTATTTATTGTTACCGGATTTCATCCCGGAATCCACAACATTCCCTAAACCCTGTTTCACCATCCATTTATTTAATTTTATTATGTATGTTAGGGGCTGTTTTCCTCTGACCCTCTTACCTTCAATTTGTCCTGTGAGCATCAGGTATTCTAAGCCGTACTTCCTCATTATATACCCTAGAAATAATAACTATCTTTTCCTGATGTTAAGTAGACGTTTCATTTATGTTTCCATTTTCTCTAAAACCTCGTCGTTGTTCACATGTTCGGTCCATGTTGTCATGAGCATCCTTCTGTAGAACCGTATTTCTGCTGCTTTAAGTTTCTTCTTCATCTTTGAGATTGTCCAGCATTCACTGTCATTTGGAAGGACAAATATCACGTCAGTTCAGTACTCTTTTTTTAACTAAGTTTTTTCTGTCTCTTAATAGTCTGCTTAGCTTTTGGAATGCATCTTTGTCTATCCCAATGTGTCTTCGGATTTCTGCTTCGCACTTTTCGTCCCCTGTTAGAACACCTCCGAGATATTTGAACTTTTGTACTTGCTTGATTTTGGTATCTCCGATTTGTAATTTACATTTTGGGCTCATCCTTTTGCTAACAACAATGAATGAATGAATGAATGAATGAATGAATGAATGAATGAATGAATCTCTCTCTCTCTCTCTCTCTCTCTCTCTCTCTCTCTCTTGCGCTAGCTAGTTTCTCAGTGCGCATGAAGATTTATCTTTGGTAAAATCTTGAAGTGACGCTGTTTTGTAGATAGTCATTCAAGTTGAAAATACAGGCAGTTGGTCCTGTAAAACTTGATCAAATCAAAATACGTCATTTACATTTTTTATAACAATTGAATTTCTAATTCAGTCGGAATCTTTCCGCTGAAAAGAAGTCACCAAGGCACTAACAGAAGTATGTAATGTTTCCCGTTGTAGCCAGCTAACGAGGAATTTGTTTAACATCCCAAGATGTACGCAATGTCCTGTGTTTCCAGTAGGAGACAATGATGCCTTTTCGAGTTTCATCATCATAAAAAATAATTCATTTCTGAATACGAATCGAACAGCAGTTGACCTGTTTCATTTTCATAACTTCTTCTTCTTCTTCTTCTTCTTCTTCTTCTTCTTCTTCTTCTTCTTCTTCTTCTTCTTCTTCTTCTGTGTGTGAGGTCATTTTAGGACATAAGTAATCATGGTTCTCCACAACTTTCTATCTCGTGCGGCTTTTAGCAGTTTTCTCCCTTTACTAAGACCCCCGTCCACCGTTCCTTCATCTATTCCCACATGTATGTGGCTCGCTACCTTCCAAAAGTTAAGAAACGGAAAAAAAAGTCTTTAGAAACAAAGAAAAGAGTTCTGGAATGCTATGTGGTATCCATCCACTTATATGATAGTGAATGTTGGGCAATTCTCCTAAGGATAAAGGAAACAAACTAGATGCAACAAAAATGTGGTTCTACAGAAGGATACTGAAAATGGATGTCGGTACGGGAGACAAAGCGAAAAAAGCTACTGAGAGCCACAAGAGATAAGAAATTGTGGATAGCTGTGATCATCAATGTCCTGAAGTGACGCATCACATGTAAGTAAATAGTGATCGGTGCATTTTGCTTTGTGAAGAAATTGGAACATTTCAATCAGATCTCTAGACAGTAAATAATTTCCCGCCTTTATTTCCGTAAGAAAACATCTAAATATCTACAAAATATTCTTTAAAATTACGTTTTTTTCTGCTTGTCCGGACCATAATGTCTCCGTTTAAACTAACCGTTTTTAGCAGCGTCTCAGAGACATAAATTTGATGATTTCACTCTCCAGGAATACAGGACCGATTTTTTAAAAATTTCTAGCTTATATCAGGCCAGAAGCCATCGTCCCCGTACTGTACTGGTTACTAACGGAGCTAGGGCGTGAGAAAGGTCGCGAGATGAGATCAAGAAGTTTGAGGGACGGGATGGAGTTTAGGATGGAGACAAGAAGAGGTGGAGGTAGGTCTAGTTCTCTCTCTCTCTCTCTCTCTCTCTCTCTCTCTCTCCCACTCTCTCTCTCTATGTCTCTGTCTATCTCCCTCTCACGCACACACACGCACACACATATCAGGATGCTACTTGTTAACGATTACGTCATAGCTATTACAAGCATCGACTGAAGACCGACAGGATAGATATTAATGGCGATAGATATCAACATAGACTAACATGGACAGAAATAGATATGATCTGAGGGATAATAATCAATATATATATATATATATATATATATATATATATATATATACTCATTTCATACAAGTATGAAATGAGTATTCTGTTTGGTGGCTAAGGTAGTTGCGTATTTCTGGCACAGGTAAAAGCGAGAAATTCAAAGCAAGCAAGACCTCTAAAATATTCTGTTCACCTTGGAGTCCTGATTTAGAACAGGTCTAGATATTGAGATTAATAGATATAAACAGATTGAAACAGGCAGATGGATAGATATGAACAGATTGAGATAGGTTGTTATAAGTACGAAAACACTGAAATAGATACGAGCACATGCAGATAGATATGAAGACTGACAGAGAGAAAGAGGGGATATATTCGTGTATAGGAATGTTACACCCATTACCAGGCAATTGGGTGATATTTTGTACAGACTTCGTCCTTCTTTATAGAGGAAACCACCGTCAGATTTGTCAAGCTTTAGTACACTCATCCACAGAGAGCATCACATTGACCGTTATATATTGATTTGGATGTGCAATTGAATAACTGGAAAAATAAAATAGAAAATTAAACAGATCGATCATCGGTTGGCTAAATTTAATAAAACTTGTTTAAATGAATCCTTACTGCCTCGTCGTTGCCGCCATCTTTGCAGGCCGTTTTTACAGATGAAAGTGACCGTTTCCCTTTACGGGGTTTGGATAAATATACCAAAAACGTGTCGATGACTAGACCTAAACCTGGACGGCACAATTTTCAGCGAGAAAAAGACTTTGGATTGCAGCAGATTCTGAGTGCGACGTCCTCAACTGTCTGATGGACCAACTTTGCTTCTGTGGTTAGCGTCCATGCAGACACGTCGTTAACTGACCCGATAATTTTTCTAATTGGCTAACAAAGATATTACATGTTTTCATGATGGCCCCAACGTGGTTCATGTATCGTTTATATCCTTTTTGCCTAGATCCAATTGATGAAAGCATGTCGTGGCTTGATGCGTAAACACACACACATATATAAACAATCTATGGGAGCACAAAACATTATTAATGCTGTAAAAACTTATTGAAATTGTATATAAATATGAAAACAAAAAAAAAACAGGGAAAAGGAGAGGTCAAAATAATAAAATAAATCATCGTAGAAAGGTGAATAGAAATAGTAACAACAATAAAAAAAATGACAAAAAAGGGCTATTTTATTCTAGTTTTCGATTGTCGTTCCTCGGGGCCAATTGAGGACAAACGTATAAATTGTGTACACAACATTAAAAAAACAATAAATTAAGAACAGCCAAGGAATCAGCAGCAGAAAAAGTAATAATCACACTTCGATTACATTAAGACCCAGCAGCCATTCCTTCTCTTTACAGAGGGAAAAGCCGCTTAGACTAAATGCATAATGCCTCTAATATTTCCAAGTGGTAATCGAGGTACATTCTACAAGTATAAATTATCAATAATTCATTTTTATTACACAGTAATTATCTAACGTATGAGCAGTGTGTTTATTGTATACATGGAGCTTGAACACACACACACACATATATATATATAACGTCATCCACAGACAGACTGTTTCGCTGTTTCCCAGCTCATCAGTGTGGCTAGACATCCGGTTGCCTCTAACTAGGATCGAAACCCGACTGAATTGGTGTCAGTCGGAGATTCTAACCATTAAGCACAGTAGGGATGAAAGTGGATTTTTAGCGTATTTATTTTTAGAAACACACAGCTGGCCACTCGTATTTGAGGATACCCGTCATTTAGGGCGTCTAGGCAATCCCTATTGCAGACGCTCGCTCAGGAACATTAGTGTTTGTTCAACACCCACAGAGCCAACCTGTGGTTATATACTGCAACTATATGCTGAGCAGACCTTAGGTACAGTTTCTGGGATAGAGCGTGTTATCTAGTGCGATCATCAATTTAAACAAGGCCAGCACCTGGGTCACGATTACTCGTAACTTCGTGCTAGCACAACTATCGATGGCCCCCAAGAGTTCCGTCTACCCTATTTCACTTACAAGCCTTGGGTCAACCTGTGGTGTGGTTTTCAGCCACTTTCCAAAGGTGCCGCACGCTGGAATCGCCCCCTCCAGACCGATAACATATCAGGAAGTCTACTTCCTGACAAATCAACCGTTCGAACCCAGAAAGCGAACGTTCTAACCACTCGGTCACGCGCCCAATATATATATATATATATATATATATATATATATATATATATATATATATATATATATATATATATAGCCTATTTTCCAGTTCACAATCATCTCCAGTTTTTAGAGATCCCAAATAGTTAAGCCTGATTGTCCGGGAAATGATGACACATATTTCCTATGAAATTTCTCCGACATTCATGCCAGTAAATGTTGTTAATACTGTTTATTATAAACAGAGCATTTAAAATATATATATATGTATTTACTTAAATATTTATATCTATATATATATATATATATATATATATATATATATATATAATCAAATATAAACAATAACAAAAATACAAAAACATCAATTCATTTTCGTTTAATAGGCTGAAAAACTACGACATTCAGCACCATCCATAGTTTATCTTTCCCTTACAGTGAGGTCTTAGAATATTTTAGCGTGTTCTCTGAAATTTAAAAACCTAACGTTATTTTTCGACACGTTATTTCTGTACATAAATACAGATTACTAATTAAAAATGTCTAAACTTGCTTTGATATAGTTCTTCAAGGAATGCAGCACATTGGCATAAAAGGTTTTCCTCTTGCCTTTTCTTTTAATTATATTTTCTTTACAGATATATTTATATCTGAATTTTTACTCACACACACACACACACATATTATTTTATTATTAGTAGTATTAATAGTATTTTCTTTGATTTTTGTTGTATACACATTTCTTTTCGTGTCCAACCAGTGACTTAAGCTCAGAAATGGCTTCAGAATATTTTCTACTCATCATTTTTTTTGTAAAAAAAGAAAAAAATCCTATGATCACTCGCATTTTACATAGATAAAGCTTTTCGTAATGTGTGAGCAGTACTTGTGAGTACAATTTATGTATTTATTTAAGGCATACACGACCAGGAATCCTTTCAATGTGTCTATAGGAACCTTTTCCAATCAAGCCAAGTCTCCAACAAAAACTGAAATTTTTTATGTCCTTATGTGCCACATTTTTGTGATTTCCATTTCAAGATCCTTGTATTTTCATAGTTTTTGAAGATCTTTAAAGATATGTTACAATCTGCAGGAATTGCTATGTCAATAAGAAAGCACATTCTGTTCTTTGTGCTCTTTGATCACGATGTCTGGGCGATTAGCTTTGATTGTTCTCTCTGTATGTATTGTAAAGTCTTATCTCTGTAACCGGGTACTGGGTGATGTTCCTACCAGTTTCTTGCAGTTTCCTTCCCGTAAAAGTTGCATATCTTCAAGTGCAGATATTCGGCTACTCTGTCATGTTTTACAGTATGTGTGCTTGGTAATTTCTAGTTAGCAAGCATTGGTCCTGTGCACGAAGAATAAAACCTTCGGTTTCAGTTTTTAGGCCACTGAAGGGTACGGGATTTATCTACCTCACTTTGGTACGGACAGAATATTGACCATGAAGAAACATCTTGTCATCGTATTATTATTAGTAGTATCATTAATATTATTATTAATATCATTCCTATTTTTCAAATGCACCTGTTTCAATTGGAATTAAGTTGTAATTTATAATCTTTGAATAATGAAAAAATATCCATAGCTACTGTATTTGTATTTACTGAAGTCGCTTTCTGGCTGATCATTTCGTATAGCGCAGGAATTGGTAAAATGAATGTCTTCTTTAGCTTACCCATCGTAATGAAACAGTGATTTTAAAAGAAAAATAGGGCTTGAATCTCTTCAAGATGGCTGTTTTAATGACAAGAGTACGCTGGTGTAGGCTTTAAGAAAGCTTTATTCAACTGAGAATACAAGGTTCGCGTGTAGTGTTCTTGTATAGTCCCAGTAAGCAGAAATAGCTCTCTGAAAGAGGAGAGTAACGAAACAAGGGAAGACCACTCTTAATTATTCATAACAGCTGTAAAATAACTTGATAGGTATATATTTCTCTCTTATCTAATGATCTCCCATCCTCTTCAAGGTTAGGTTTATTCCATGCTTAAAAATCCTAAGAGACCATCCCACACCTCGAGCCCTTTACCTAGTCGAAATCTGCCGAAAATCTTAGACTTCTTTTGCGTACCCATCGTAATAAGTTGGTTGGTGATTAAAAAAAATTAAAATTCCGATAATCTTAATTACCTGCTCGATATTATTTTGACAGAAGATATTTGAACTATTGATATATTGCTCTCTCTCTCTCTCTCCCCCTTTCTCTCTCTCTCTCTCTCTCTCTGTCTGTATATATATATATATATATATATATATATATATATATATATATATGATCGAAGTTAAAATTTAATAGATATTATCACACTGTCAGTTCCACAACTAAGTCATATATTCAGAGCCGATCTTCGTAATTTTAGTTACTATTTATTTACTTTTTCCAGCTTGGGATTGTGCTTCCGGTTCCTTCTAGTATTTACTTCGGCTCTGTGCTTCTGGTGCCTCTGTCTCAACGCCAAAATTTTATTCACTAATTATTATTTTTCCCTCCCACATAAGGAGTGGGCGGTTTCGCGTATCGTCCGATTTTCACTCATTCCAGAATTAAATCAATACTTCTAACATCTCCGTCTGAACACAAAAAGTTTATTCACTAATTATTTATCTTATTTTTTTCCTCCTCCCCAATAGGAATAGATAAGCCCGCTTATCATCCGGTTCATACTCCTCCCCAGTGTTTTGAACAGGAGTAGAGGTTCCGTTTAGAATTGGGTTTCCGGTTCCTCCTAAACTCTACTCCAACTCTATACATTTAATATCTCTGCCTGAACTTTGAATCTTTTTTTCACTATTTTTATTATTTTTCTCCTCCCTCAATAGGAGTAAAAAGGAACGACTATTGCCCGGTTAATACTCATTCTCGTTTTTTTTTTTTTTTTAACAAGTGTAGAGGTTTATCCCTTCTTTCCTGTTTAGCATTGGGTTTCAGGTGCCTTCAACATTGTACTTCTGATGTCTCCGCCTGAACTGTGAAATTTTCTTCTGTAATTATTATTTTTCCTCTCCCAATATAAATTGAAAAGCTAGACTATCGTCCAGTTCACACTCCTCTCCGGTCTATCGAATAGGAGTAGTAGTTTATCCCTTGTTCTCTGTTTAGGATTCGGTTTCTAATTCCTTCTAAAATCTAATTCAACTCTATACTATAGTTCTAATATGCCTGGCAGAACACTGAATTTACTTTCACTACTCCAGTTCTCGCCCTTTCTTACGCTAATATATATATATATATATATATATATATATATATATATATATATATCGACTGATTTCCTAATTTTATATATATATATTCGAATCTCACTAGGGTTGATTTGTCAGGAAGGAGACTTCCTGATGTTATCGGAATGGATCAAGGTTGATCCCAGCGTACGGCACCTTTGGAAAGTGCCTGAAAAACCATACCACAGGTTGACACAAGCCTTGTGAGTAAAATTGGGTAGACAGAACTCTTGAGGGTTGTCGATAGCTGTGCTAGCACAAAGCCACAAATCATCTTGGCCGAGAGATTGAGCGTGCTGGCCTTGTTCAAATTGTTGATCACGCTAAATAACACGCTCCCTCCCAGAAACTGTAACTAAGGTCTGCTCAGCATAGTTGCAGTATAAACCACAGGTGGGCTCTGTGGGTGTTGAGCAAACATAAATGTGCCTGAGCGAGAGTCTGCAATAGGGATTGGCTAACCACCCTAGTAGAAGGGTATCCTCGAATACGAGTGGCCAGCTATATATATATATATATATATATATATATATATATATATATATATATATATATATATATATATACAGGTGTAACAGCAAAATTATCCAATTGTTAGATTAAGCTTTTGAACCTTTGTATCTTAGAAATGATTAAAGATATTTTGCTGGAATTCTATAATTTTTTTATAATACACTTGGAATCTACTCTAAGCAATAAGAATGTATAATTACTCTCCATGCTTAATAGAAATATTGTGATGAAATCAATCATAAGCGAAAATGATATGTTCATCATTAATTAATCATAGCTAAGGATTGGTATCTCATGAACGACTGAAATAATCTTCAAATATATATATATATATATATATTATTCCAGTATCATTTTCCAACTGATTCAAGATCATCTTCGCCCTCTCTGACCTTCTAATTTTCTGTCCTAGAGTAACAAGGTGCCTCACACAGGTTTCACGTACGATTTCAACTCTTTTATCACTGCTCTTTGGACTGTCATAGCTGAAACTCCTCTCTCACGTGCCAAAATTCTTATGGATTGAGTTGGATCTTTTCTAATTGATCCCTTTAGCTCTAAGTTAAAATGGTGATCCCTCTTGCAGTTGTGACCTCCTCATCCAGTTTTCCTCTCTACTGTTCCCTCTTTTTTTAAAATTTATTCACGATTTTCTCTTCATGGTTCTGAATGGATTTTGAAGATGGGAGCCAGAGTATGAATGTTGATACCATTACTGAAGGCCTGTATGTCCTTTTTCCTCTCACCATTACTCAGTTGGGAAGACAATGGGTCTGACACAAAACGATTTTAACTTGTTCTCTTTCTAGATAAATAACCCAACGTTTATTTTCAGTGATTCTTACGACAAATGGTGTCAAGATGGGTAAATGTTTTATCTGAATACCTGGAAAACAGAAACTCAGTAAGTTCAGTGGTTATTTAGATATTAAACATTTTGTGCAGTGGACAATTATGCTGTTACACGATTTGGATAAGTTTGCTGTTTCCACCCGGATGATATATATAATATATAATATATACTCGGTATATATATATATATATATATATATATATATATATATATATATATCGTAGCAAACGACTCGTCCAAAACTATCAGATCTCTAACGGTAATATAACAACGAAGAAAAAAACAACAAATTTCACAGAAAAAGAAAGAAGAAAATCCCACTTCATTCTTCATTTTTTTATTTCTCGTCTCGTTGAGAAATGACACAGGCGTGTCCAAAAATCTAAACACACATATATATATTCCAATATACGCGAGGAGGAGCAAGAGAAACATATATATATATATATATATATATATATATATATAATATTTTATATTACATATATATATATATATATATATATAATATTTTATATTATATATATATATATATATATATATATATATATATATATAATATTTTCTCTTGCTCCCACTCACGTATATTGGAACCCGCTTTTAAAAGCTTACTTGGATAAATTCTTATCGATCTCCATGACAAAAACATCTGGAACGATAGTTGTGGTCAAATGGGTAGAGGGTGAATATGTAATGGAAGTTTTAGTACTTATGAACTGGCAGTTGGAAAAGGCTGATCCAAATGAACGGTTGCTCGGCCAGCTTTAGTTTGGTTTTTGCTAATAAACTATATTTATATGAATCGATGCTGGATCTTGATAGAAAAAATCATTTTTGTTAGTCCCCCCCACCCACGCCATCACCACCAAAAGCTAGTGTCCATAACTTTTAAGTACATAATCCTGAAAATAAAAAAGAAGATTTAAGAAGATTGAAGTCGATTTTCGTTTCACTCGCTGTAAGAAAAAAAAACCCAAATACTGGATTTTTATCATTGGTCCCCACCAGCAGGAAAAGAAGACTAAAACCCTAGCTCCTATCTGTGGGTGGAACATAAAAATAAACGAAAAAATTCCAACTGGTTTTGAAATATTTTGCTCTGGTAATAAGTAACAAATATATCAAATGCTTTTTTTCTTATTTTAAATTTTTTCGGCATTAGTCACTTCTTCGGGCAAAATTGCAAAAATCTGACAACTTGACACATGGAACCAAACTAAAAGGATATTGTCTGAGCGAAGATTAACGAAAACATTTCTGTATGCCCATTCGAATGAAATTATTGTTTATTAGAAACGTGTCTCATTTCTAATAACGAGGTTTAACAACCCAGCGTCCGAACTTCAAAACTTTCAGATGCCAGTTGTTTTTTTAACCTCAAAATCAAAACATAGAAGTGATTGATTTTTTTTACATCATTTAAACGTATTACGATAAATAAAATAGTCGATTGACTTACAAATTAAGTATTTTTCTTTTACATTTTTTAGTAATAAATATAGGTCTCACAGATTCCTCTTTCTTTCTCTCTCTCACCCTCTCACCCCTCTCTCTCTCTCTCACTCTCTCTCTCTTTCTCTACAAAGCTACAAATTGAAAATCTACTTTTATCATATTTTTATCAGCAGCTTTTCAAATCAAAAATCTTCTCTCTCTCTTTCTCTCTCTCTCTCTCTATATATATATACGTGTGTGTGTGTGTGTGTGTGTGTGTGTGTGTGTCTGTCTGTCTGTCTGAATAAATTACAGACATTATGTCTGCTAATTTTAAATAAAATCCGTTCTTAGGAAATGAAAATAAAAGAAATTTAAACAGCTATAGCACATTTCTCTCATCCTTTAACATGGAAGGTTATTCGTGAGTATGAACGAATTTTATTAAAATAGATAATATCAAATCCGTAAGCGATAAGGATAATCCAAGTGGGGCTTTTTAATATAAAATATTAAAAAGATAGATCTATGAAGAGAACTCAATGTATTTATATACTGAGTAAATAAATTGTCCGGATAAATTTAAACCATTTTATAATTTTGGTCTGATGATGCAGATATTAAAAATTTATCTGTCGAAATAAATTTATTGCCGAATTCTTCGATGATATGTTAATTTTTTCCTTACCTCAACACAACAACTCATAACAAATATTCAAATTGTCCTCCGCTTACTTCCACACACGCATGCACCCGTCGGATCATTGACTGGCGGATCCTTTCCCACACGGCGTTGAATGTTTTCGCAGGTCCCCATGACACGTTGATGAAGCGTCTCTGCATTATTAATGTCTGCTACATTGTTTTAGATGGCCCCACAGATAAAAATCCAAAGGAGTGACGTCAGAAGAACGTACAGGCCATGGAATGGTTCATCCTCTACCTATCCATCTTTCATGGTGGATATCAGCCAGTGCATCACGAACAAGAAGACTAAATTGTGCTGGAGCCCCATCGCACATGAACCAGATTAGCAGGGATACATTCTCTAGCAGGTCTGAAAGTGCGTTCGAAATAGAGTCCCCGCCGACAGCTCCTGTAAGACGTGCTAGTAAAACATGTGGACTTACCAGATAGTCACCTATGATTCCAGCTCACATCGTAAAATGACGCTACTGTTTAGCCTGTATTGTATCACAAATGCTGGTTGTGAAAATTTGTTATTCCATCTTTTCCAAAGGTTAACTCATCCGTAAACAAGACTGAAGAGGCAAACAATAGATCGGCAGTTTGTGCAATAAACGATCGCCAAAAGTTCCCCCGTGGTGAGTGGTCAGAGGGCGCTCACGTTGCCAATGATACGGATACAGAAGCTGCCCTTGAAGTACCTTCCATGCGATACTATGAGATGTCCGACAGCCTGTAGAATGTGTTCCTCGGGATCAGGCGTACCAGCGGATCTCGGTCTTCCTCGATCCATAGTTTGTGGTACCATGGATCTTGTTTCAGCAACGCGTCAATAAACAGCAGCAAAGGTTGGATGACTCCGCTCCCGTCCGTCTGGAAACGCAATCTGATACAGCCATGTAGCCTCATGTTCATTACCATTATCGTATATAAAAAATCATATCTACCTGCTCACAATATGAATATCCTGCCAGTGTTAAACGAAACACTTCTCTGTTAAATCACTACTACACACGTTAAAATTTGAAAACAGACTAACTACAAATGTACACGAATGATAAATGTAACCTCGTCTACATGGCAACACAGCTTCTAACGTAAATAATTCAAAAACGAAGGATCTGAGGACATATGTTTATATGGACTTTTTGTCCTTGTTTTGGTGTGAGGAACGCGCCCCCAAAATTTGTAAAATATATATATATATATATATATATATATATATATATATATATATATATATATATCATAAAGAGACAATTTATACAAAGAATTAAATATCAATGTTAATGTGATTAATGGCGAAATCACTTCACTAACAAGACTTAATGACACATTAACTTACTATCTTACTTATTATCTTACAAGCAAAATTCTCACTTGATCGATTTGAACAAAAACCCTCGTGTCACGCGCTCCAAACCATATATTTAGTGAAATATATAATAGACTATGTAAATAGCTATGTATTCTATTTTGATCTCTCTCATCAACAAGGGATTTGGGCCCACTGAAATTTTTTCTTCTTTTTCTTTGTAAACCTTAGAAATGGTTGTGCTTAAAATGTTCCTGTAGATCAGTAGTTTGTAAAGCACTTAGATCCGCGCGTCTGGCACCAACGACCATGCCGCATTCAAAGCCAATTAAATCACCTTTCTTTGCCTTTTGAAATTCATCAGGTCCCCGTGTCTGTATCCACGAAATTGTTGCCACATTATTGGCAGATTAGAAATTTGCATAAGAGAGCATTTGTTCACTAAGGAGTGTATATATATATATATATATATGCATTGTTAGATATAACAGTCAAGATTTTTAACCAACTAAAGAAAAATGCCACGCTATATTATATTAACGACAAGATGTAGAGATTTTCCAAGCGTGGCTTAGATGCGGCATAAGGCCGAAAGTAAGGGGCACCCAATGAGGATTGAACTCACTACTCAGTCGTAATTGTTCTAGCAAGACAAGCTTGCTAACCATTACACCGCCTCGAGGTATCCTTACGACGGGCTGTAATTGCAAATCTTAACCGATTAATCCATAAAATATTTTTCAACAGACTCAAATAAATTTCTGTGAACTGTATCTATCCCTTCCAGTTGCTTTATTTCTTCCTTCTTTTCCTTTTCCTTTTCTTTTTCTTTCTTTCTTTCTTTCTTTCTTTCTTTCTCTCTCTCTCTCTCTCTCCTTTCTCTTTCCGAAGTCATTTATATTTCAAAAAGGAAAAAGAAACGCATCGAATTCTAACTGTATTAAAAATCTACTGATACGTTTACTGACTAAACTCACAAGCAACATCTATTTACTCCAATTTATTAAACAATCCTCTTGCAATACTTACGTATAAAGACAATTGCTCTGTTTGCCTCGGCCTGGAACAAGGCCACAAAAATGGGACACTTAAACTCAGCTGATCTAAGCTACTATCACTCAATACCAGACATATATATAAATATATTTAATAATAATAATAATAATAATAATAATAAAATGTTGTAGAGTTTATAGATGAAGACAGCGTGAACATAGCAATCCATGCATGGTGACAGTCAGTTTTACGCCTGAATGCGGCCTCCAGCTCTTTATACGAACATTAATAAGCACTCATGTATGTTGGGAAAATGAATATTAAAACCAAAAAGAAATAAATTTATGCTATTAACCTATAATTATAATAGCTCTTAAAAGTTTATGTACCGACTACATGATCGAATTGTACTCATCATACACAAATATTTCAGTTGATAGATATTAACAATTATTGTTGTTTAGTTGATTTTACGACCAATTATGTAATTTTTAATTTTTTTATTAAATTTTGGAGCTGATCCAGTCCTTCTTATCAAATCGTGAAATGAAAGCCATCCTGGACGGCCACTCTTCCAGATCCTTTCGTACTAATGTAGGTGTACCCTAGGGCTCAATTCTTGTCCTACTGTGTTTTTAATTTTCTTTAATGAGCTTCTCGATGGCATCAGCTCTCAATTTGGTATCTACGCTGATAACGTAACGATTTACTCCTGTCTCGATAGTAAGTCTGGTCATTTTGATAAAGTCAAAATGGCAGCTGATATTCAAAACGACCTTCAGTCTGCTGTTATTGGGACAAAGGATGGCTTTTTAATTTTAACGCTTGTAAAAATAAACTACTCTCTATTAATCATCTGAGAGAACCCTGCTTTCCATCAGCATGTCTCATCAATTTATAGTTTAGTTGGTTAAATGTAACCGTAAATTCTACGCTAACAGTTTATTTTTCGCGCTTCTTGCTTGCGGAATGCCCTTCCGGCTCCAGCCAACTTTAATCTCTAAAAATTTTAATGTAATATCAATCTCTACCTACTGTCCTCCTGATTACTCTTCTTTTGTTCTCGCTCCTTAGCAATGTTTCTCTTTTTCTTATTCTTTTATACCCAGTAACCCCTTCTCTTAGTGGCTTTACTGCTTTTCATGAGGTGAACTTAATTAAAAAAAGGCACCCAGTAAGGATGGAACTCATTACTTCAGCTGTAATGATCAAGCAAAGTAGTAAAACTTCACAATTAGCAGACGGTAACTATTACCCGGTAATCATAGCCCCATGTTGAGGCGCTTAGATAGATAGATAGATAGATAGATAGATAGATAGATAGATAGATAGATAGGAATAAGCTAAGGTAGATAATGGTTAGCTCTATGTAGATGGCGAGTTACTCACAGCTATTTCCTCTTTTATATATATATATATATATATATATATATATATATATATATATATATGTTTCAAGTCTCGCACATTAAGAATTCAAACAGGGAACGGATTTTTCTAATAATTCCACCTACAAGCGAGTTCTACACACCTAAAAAACTAATGAAAACTATGAAAACGAAACACAAACTGTCACAGATCAAGGATCACTTCGCACCTAAGACGTATAGGCAGTTATCGCAGCGTTATACCAAGCTACCTCACGGTCTCCCTAAGATTCACAAAGACGGTATTCCGCTCAGGCCGATTGTTAGTTGCCAAGGCTCGGTGTGCCACCCTCTGAGTCGCTTCCTTGTAGATATAATTGACTCATTGATCGGAAAGTCTCCTTCATATGTCCAAAACTCCGCCCACTTCGTGGAAATAATCAAAGATGCTCCCATCCTATCCAACCAGATGGTGAGCTTGGACGTGGTGAGTTTGTTCACCAAGGTACCCACGGAGGAGGCACCCTCAGTAGTCAGAGACAGATTGACCTCTGACTCTTCCCTAGAAGAACGGACCAGTATTCCAATAGATAATCTGATGGAGATGTTGACTTTCTGTACACAAACAACACACTTCGGAATGGGATCACACATATATCGACAGGATGAGGGCTTAGCAATGGGCTCGCCATTATCACCAGCAATGGCGAATATATACATGGAATACTTTGAGGAAATGGCATTAGAATCTATATCTCTAAAGCCAACTATATGGTTAAGGTACGTAGATGACACCTTCATACTCTGGCCACACCAGGAAGATGTTCAGGTTCTACTGGACCATGTGAACTCAATAAGACCTTCGATACAGTTCACAATGGAGAAAGAGAGTAACAACACACTCCCATTCCTGGATGTTCTAATATCTCGAACAGAGCATGGGTTTAAGACATCCGTATACCGTAAACCGACATTCACCGGACAGTACCTCAATTTCAACACCCACCATCCATACAGCGTAAAGAAAGGGATCGCCCGTTGCTTACAACACCGAACAAAAGTCATAAGTGGCGACTCAGAGACGTTAGATAAAGAATTGGTCAGTATAAGTAGTACCCTACAACCTAACAACTACCCTTGGTACATGGCAGCAGCCCCCAGAAACTGGAATAGACGGGTACAAGAGGAGTAGGACAACAACACCCAGAAAACAGTCTGCCTGCCTTATGTGAAGAGGTTATCATAGAAAATCTGCGGTCCATATAACATCAGAACAACCTTCAAAAGCTTGACGACACTTCGCAGATATCTCTCCCGAGTAAGACCTCCCATAGAGGAGAACATGACTAAAGACTGTGTGTACGCTATACCGTGCAGCTGCGGAAAGAAATATAAAGGAGAGACAGGCCACCCCCTCAAGTTAAGGCTTCAAGAACACCAGAAAGCTGTAACACGAGGAGAAGTAGAAAAATCAGGCGTGGCTGACCACATATGGAGAGAGAAGGGAGATCACCGCCCTCTGTGGGATTATGTTGAGATCATTGACAAGGAACACCATTGGAAAATTCGTAAACTTAAGGAATCAGCACATATGCTAGGCCACAAAAATCTCCTGAGCCGACCAAGCATAGAGATAAATACAATATGGGAACCAGTAATAAGGAGTGCCAGAGAAAAGCAATGATAACAACATAGTTGCAATATGAGCTCTGGTAAAAACATGCAATGATAACAGCAAAATTGCAATATGAGCACTGGTAAAAATGGTTGCTGAAGACATTAGGTTTATAATACCCAGAAATTCATACCCAGATGGCACAGTGGATAAAGGCGTTGGTTAGATCCAGTGACAAGACCCAAATACCCGCTTAAAGCATACCCGCTTAAAGCAGTGGAGAACTTTCAGAGGGAAATTAACAGGAGATAACTGATAACTGACATCCATCAAACATGGCACGTGGAACTAGAACAGTCTATCCCAGTGATAGATGTTGGATAGTTTCCAACGCCATTTTGTTTACTTCTCGAATCCGCTGATGAAGAACACAGGCGTGTTCGAAAATTCCAAATTTGGAACCTCAATCTCCTTGCTTCATTTTTGTCACATGGTTAACGTTAATAAATGTTTTTCGTACTGATTTCATCGGTACCATTTCGCTTGACTTTGTTTTATTGACCAACTTATCTACTCTACTATATATATATATATATATATATATATATAATTATTTATTTTTAAAAAATTATAACATAAATATGTTATAAAATCACTACAAAAATAGCCATTTTGACAACACTGTGTCTTATCAAGTGATGATGTTGAATGTAAATTTTTACATTCAACATCATCACTTGATAAGACACTGAGAGTGTTGAAACAAAATGGCTATTTTTAGTGATTTTATAACATATTTATCTTATAAATTTTTTTAAATAAATAATTATATCTGCTCTACTTTGTATTGAGCACTCTTTTAAGAATAGTATTTGTTGGTTATTGGAATTCATTCCGTATATACCAATCATATACTTGGGTATATATATATATATATATATATATATATATATATATACATTAAATTCAATAGAAGTTATTCAATGATATAGCGTATTCGAAATACATTAGTAAATTTGAGACTGCTCAGACACGCGAAAAAACTCTGAAGGTAGATAAATAGTCGACTGGTATGCACGTCCATCTATGCATATGCTGTATGTAAAATATAGGCTGACACAATACTTAACGTATAGAAAGTATACAATCGTGTCCAAGCTATAGACCTTTACAAAGACAAATGAGTTGTGCAAGAAGGAATGCTTGTATGTTTATGCTGTTGCGTATGTCTGATGCGGGGGGAGGGGAGGGGCGGTAGCGCATATGCGTCGTCAGGGATTGGTTCCTTTATTTGGTGTAATTCTTGGTACGAGACTCATTTAAATGAATCTTGGATGAAAGCGGAGAAAAAAAGTTTCTCGTTATTAAGGGCGTCTCCACGCCCCCCCCCAACCACCCCCTCCGTTGCGAACACTTTTTTCTTTTCTTATCGAATGTTTGATTTTTCTGCATCACAGGTTCGTGTAAGAAAATCAAAGCGGCGTTAACTTTTCACACACACTCATATAAACGCACATATGCAACACACATATATAGATACACACACATATATACACACATACATGAACAGATATATATATATACACACACACATATGCATTCACACATATACACACTCATGCACGCACACACATATATACACACATATATACACACACATTCACACACGCACATATGCACACACACATATATAAATATATACATACATATTGATATACACACATATGCAGACACACACACACATATATATGTAAAAATTGAGATATAATTAAAAAATATATCTGTAAAAGGACAATATGAATAAAGACAAAAAGAAAACTTATCTTAGCCAATAGCGTTTCGTCTTCTGATGGACTTATATATATATATATATATGTATATATGTGTGTATGTGTCTGTATGTATATATATATATATATATATATATATATATATATATATATATATATATATATGA